GTACGTTTCGACTTTTTGCCTTTTTGCAAAACCGCGCCGCGATCTCTTGACCTACGACGTATCTGTGCCGTGACCGTGAGCGCTGACACGTTTCTACGTTGGACGTTGACGCCTTTCGATTCGCGCGTCTCGATCATCCCTCTGATGGATTCACGACTCCTTCTCCTCCTCCTCCTCCTCTCCGCCATTAGCGATCGTTGATTTTAGAAGGGGATCGATTAGTCGTCGTGCGTATAATTGTCATCATCTGCGTCGAAACGTATTTGGAATCGTTTGGTATGCGTTGGTATCTAAGTAGCAACGTTTGAGAAATGAGAGCAAAGAAAGATACGTTCGAATTCGAAGTAGAGAAGATATAAGAAACGTCCTGGTTTTATATTATTTTCTTAATAAAGAATTCGTTTCGCGTTCTCGCTTCGGTTATATGCTCGATGTAAAAAAAAAAAAAAAAAGATTTCCTCACACTTTTCTTCGCTTCTCCAGTACGAGGGAAATCTCCTCGTTACGAAATTCTCCTCGCGTATTATCTCAAAAGTGACTCCGTTGCAACCACCTTCGATTTCTTTCAGCTCGATGCGCTCGTAACGCTTCGCGAGAAATCGTTGAGAATCCTTGATAAAGTGAATTTCATCGGTGAGAAATGCGGTCAAAGTTCGTTTTGAAACTCGGTCATAGACATTTTATCGCCATTTATACGACGATCGCCACGACTACGTCGACTTAGCGTCCTCGATCGCTTGTTTATAAATACACGATCGATGTCTTCTCCGTTTTGCGTGTATGAAAATTAACGAGAGCTGTAGAATAAATATTTTTTTCGACGCTCCATCTCCTCTCGGAGGCCAGGATCCCTTCTCCGTCCTCATCCTCCGTCCATTTTTCGATAAAACGTTATAAAGGGAACGCAAGCTGGTAAGAAGAGCAGGGCAGAGGATAAAACGCGAGATTACGCGCGGTAAAAAGCTTGGAGAGCGTGGCCGAAGGGGCGGGAGGGAATCGAGCGCAGTGAAAAGTGACGTTCTTTAAACGGAGGAAAAAAAAGATTGGATCCACTCGTCGCGATACGGCGAAGATTAGTTTATTTCTCCGCTCCTCGTCATAATACGCGGCAGGGATATTTATGTAATACGCGACATGCAAATGAATACATTGTTTGCGCGTTTGTCAGAGATAAGTTACGAAGCGAGGTTTCGTACGAGATTTCTACACTGCCTTTGTGCGTGTATCGCATCTGATGTGGAAAACGGACGAGCAAGTAGCGTGCAATTACAAAGAAATTATGATTGACGCGTTCACTGCCACTGATAATCATTGATGGCTCTGCTCTCTGTCGGAACTGTATCGAGGCAATTTTTATTTTTAATTAATTGGACTTTAGAAAGTTGCATCGTTATACTTTTCTTTTTTTCAGCGCTCTTTTGAAAAATCCTTACTTTTCGCAACTTTTTACTCGCGTTCAGTTATTCGATTATTATTATTATTATTATTATTATTTTATCACGCCATCGATCGTGAGAAATAGTTTCGATCTAGCAAAAAAAAATTAAAAAAGAAAAGAGAGGGCGGGGATGGAAGGGGGAGGGGGAGGATGTTGCCTTTGCCAACGATGTTCGAAACGAACGATCGTATCAACGTGACGCATTTGGTGCAACAGGTGAGAAGGTGCACGCGTGAAATTTGCTACCATTCTCCTCCGGTCTTTCCACTTTCGCGTGTGCCTAACGTATCTGAGTCACGTTCGCGTAAAATTGCAGCATCGACGGGCATCCGAGATTTGTTGCCATCACGTACTCTTGTTCAAGCGTCAAGAGAAAATCGCACTCCCCCACCCTGAAATTTGAAATGGGTCGATGAATATTTTATTTATTTCTCGTTCGGACGTTCGTTGTTCAACGTCGACGTTCATCGAAGCCGATCATGTGTCGATCATCTAACCGTGAAAAAAAAAAAAAAAAAAAAAAGAAAAAGAAAAATGCGTTTCCCTTTATTTTTCTTTTTCCAACTTCATTCGATGATGCGCGACTCCGAAGAAGCACAATCGAAAGAGTGTTCAGAAGAGAATAGGAATTAAATTCAACCAGGTACAAACGGAGGAAAGAAAATTCACTTTTCTTGTACTTTTTTCTGTCCCTTCCTTTCTCCAACCAGTTTTCCCTCCACTTATTCTCTTCGACATATTCTCTTTCCTCTCCTCGATATTATTCCTTCCCCGAAAAACTTTTCGAAAAAAAAAAAAAAAAGAAGGGTGCTGCTAGCTTCGATTCGAACGTCGAACGTCGAACCAACGACCAGGCACTATTTTTTTCGTGGTTCGTTGGGGCCAGAGGTCTAATCAATGCGTCAACTGTTCTCGCTGTGGAAGCGGAGACGTTTTTTTTCCCCTCTCTCTGCCTTCTCCCCCCTTCTCCCTTGTCCCCCTCCCTACCGGTTGACCGATGCATTTCGTCGGAGGCGCGTATACCGTAGAAAAAGCGATTACGAGAGGTATATAACAAAAATCCAAAAGCGGTTGCGCGTAGTGTGTTTCATAAGTTTCGCAGCTGGGAAACCGGAGATGAGTCTGGCCGATTCCACGCGATCATTGATCGTTAACTTTTTTTGGCTGTGGATGATCAAAGCCGAACGACGCGGTGGCCGCACGTAAATCGACTTTAAATCGCAATAAACCGTGCAAAAACTGCGCGGCGGATTTGCCTCGCGCGCGTTCACTTTCGACCGCAAAAAAACGCGAAAAACCGATCCTCCCTGTCCCACTTCATCAGCTTTCCTCCATCCTTCCGTGTATCTCCATCTCTCTCTCTCTCTCTCTCTCTCTCTCTCTCTCTCTCTCTCTCTCTCTCTCTCCCCTCCCCCTCTTTCTCCTTTTCTCCACTTTTTTTTCGCCTTTTTTTTACACGAAAATTCTTGTTTTACTTTTCGTCGCAATGATGCATGTCGAAATTGCAACTTTACGCTTTCGTCGCGTCACCGTGATACCGCAGCATTAGCATTTATATTGTAAACCTTGAAGGCGAGAGCGAGAGGATAACGCGGGCTCGCCCGTTTCCCCCTTTACGCCGTGGTGCAGTTAATCAAGCAAGTGAAAAAAGATAGATTAAGACAAGTGTAAAAATCCTTTCTCTCACTGTCGCTTTTTCCGAATGAGCCTAGGTACCGTGCACATTTTCATTTCCTGTCCTACATGTTGCCAGCGAACAGCGCCGGGAGAAAAAGAAAAAAAAGAAAAAAAAAATTTTAAAAAACTAAAAAAAATTAAAAAAAAAAAAAAAAAAAAAAAAGAAAAAGGAAAAAAAGGCGAACGAAGTAAAAACGAGAAAAATACTTCGATAAAACGCGATATAGAATGTGCGTTCACGCTCGTACGTACACCTGTTTTTGAACGGACTTGTATCCACGAGCCTGTGGATTCGAGGTATGGGAAAACTAGTATATGTAATAATGAACGCAAAACGCCGCATTAATCACTTGGTAGTAACAGGTGTAATCGTAGATCGTCGTAGATTTTCCATCGAATTTTTCTTTTTTTTTCTTCTTCTTCTTCTCCTTCTTCCTCCCCTCCTCCCGTGACAAATCATCAATTCATATTCCGTTTTATTCAATTTCAAGATCGTGTGTGCGTGTGATCGATGATGGCGGGAATGGACGCGTAAAATCATCATCATGTGCAATAACTGGTAACAGTCATTATCACACTGTCACTGCCGGTTACCACCAATGATTTGCACGGTCACGCGACCTGGAGCACAGGGAATTTCGAATTATCGAACGAGCTCGATCGCTTTTAACTTTTACTCTTACCGCAAGAATCGATCATTGATTATCGCGATTATCCGCCAGCCAGTTGTAAATTGTAAACGTTAACTACAGTGTCGCCTACGGTGTATCGTTCTCTTTCCATTTTTCCATGCGTTTTGGAAATGAAGAGTGCGGGGAGATGTCGACGGGAGGAGATGGCAGAGCAGCGTCGGAGAAGCAGCTCGCGTGCCATTCGTGACCTCTGAACCCCGCGTTCCTACCATCATCGTGCGTACTTCTATTTTTTCTCCTATGACTAAGCTCCTTTCCTTTTCCATGTACGCGATTCCGATCTCTTTCTTCTCCCCCACTAGGGGTTAAGTAATTAGACACACTTAAATAACACGTGGCAGAAAAACCATGCGGTGATATCATACGGATATCATACGCGTCGATTAGACGATTTTTTCCTTTTTCTTTTTCTTTTTTTCCCCTTCACCGATACATTTCATTCGAAAATACATCTCCTCTTTTCGAAAATAATTCCAATTCCTCCCTCTGTCCTTCTCTCGTCGTCTTCGTCGCTCCCAGATCTCATCCCACCGATCGACCAACCGATAAAATGTAAAGAAAATCGTTCGAAAATACATTTCCTCTTTTCGAAAAAAATTCCAATTCCTCCCTCTGTCCTTCTCTCGTCGACTTCGTCGCTCCCAGATCTTATTCCACCGATCGATAAAATGTAACGAACAACCGATAAAATGTAAAGAAAATCGCAACTCGTGCGTTCGAACGTTGCAGAGTCGATTGGATCTCCCCTCCCCCCCCCTCCCTGTATCCGAATTTATCGTTGGAAAGGAGGGGAGGGGGGGGGCCGACGAAAGCACGACTCCGTTTTCGAACGGATTTCAACAATAAGACGAAATTGAGGCGGTTAACGAGTGAAGCTGATAATGAGCCTCCATAAAATCAGCCCGTGGTTCTTCTCGTGGCACCACCATCTCTTCCTGCCTCGCGGTTAAGCGGCTCTCACACGATCCGCCGATCTTAATGACGACGAAATTATACACCGGCATACGTACACGCTCGTGTCATCCGATCCGATCATGTGCACGCGTGAACATAGAGATCACCCCAACACAACAACAATAGGAAACGGGGATGGCGAACGAAATAATGATCAAGAAGTAGAGGAGAGTAGATTTGGCGGGAAAATAGTGAAGAAACACGGACGAGACTCTTTTAAAAATCGTTCTACGAATGCC